GGGGGGAGAACCGGCGGGGCAAAAGTGGGGGGCCGGGGGGGGGGGGGGGCAGGGAGTTGTGGGTCAGGGGACCAGCAGGGCTGGGGGGGCTGTGGCTTAGGAGTGACGGACACCAGAGGTGATAAGGGGGCTGTGAGTCTGGAGTGAGGGATAGCAGCAGGGATGGGGTACTGAGGGTTGGACATAAGGGGCAGCAGCAGGACTGTGGGGGCTGTAGCTTAGGAGTGATGGATATGGGCAGGGAATATCACTGCCCCTCCACACCACAAGCATATATTTCCCTCCCCTCACACAGATACCATATTTCCCATTTAAAAAAAGATGACAACTCTACATCTGCCTCACCCCAGACTGCTACGAGGTCACTGGTTTCTTGCTCTATTGAGTGAGGGCCCCAGGCTGATTGATGTTTCTAGATGCTGCCATCTCAAGTGCTGCCAGAGGCCTCAGATAGGGACTCCAGGTGCCACTGGGGCTTGCTGCATACCTGCAGTAAAGGGGCATGGGGGCCAGGCAGCTGGAGGTACAGGGCCCAAGGGTCAGGTAGGGGGGCTGAAGGCATCCCTGTCCCATGGCTGGAAGGACTCTCAGCCACATGGCTCTGGCCCAGCTAGGAAGCTGGTTCCCTGTGGGTGTGGCTGAGCAGGAGCAAATTTTGTTCCCAGTCAGCATCTATGCATGCAGTACTGCACAGTTAAACTAGTATCTATATCTACAGGTACTAGCTAACCACACAGTAGACTAATTTACTACATGGTAAAAGCTGCCCGCATGTAGACAGCAGTGCTTTACTGCACAGATTAGTCTACTGGTCTCAGTGGTACTCATATAGACATAGTATATTCTTCCTATATAAAACAGGGAATTTCTACCCACAGATTCTATGGTACTTTTTAATCAGTTAAGGTATCTACTGTGTTTGACTTCCTGTAGTCTTTGATATGGAATGGCACTGGCTTAGGAGGTGTACCAATACATCAGTCTGGTATCAGATCAGTGCTGATAGCCAGTTTTCTTTGTGTCTGATATTGAGCCAGTGGGTTCAACGAATGCTTGTGCTGCACACAGCTACAGTGCAGCATTCAAAGTAGTATGGAGAGCTACCTTCAGCTGGTAAGTCCAGTGTGGTGGAAGGGGAGAGGGAAGGGAAAGCACCTTCCACTTTTAGTACCTTGAATAAGATATCCTTTTTAACTCTCCTCAGTTCTTCTTCATTTCACCTCTCTCCCTTGGACACGTTCCTGCCCACTCCCACAAACATACGCAAAGTATAAAACTCACATAGAGCAAGAAACTAGGCTAGGCTTAGAAATTAAGTCAGTCACATTACACTCTACAGCCTGTCTGAGAGCTCATGCTTCACTTGCAGAATGATACCAGCTGATCACATTGAATAGACTGTAAATACCAAGTCTGACCTGTAGAAAGTTCAACATACTTTTATTGAAAAAAAAATATTTACAGCAAGAACAAGTAACCTGCCTCACAGGTGGATGTAAATAAAACAAGGTGTTAACCATGAGAACCAAGTTAAATATTGTATAGCTACCATGATCTAGTATGGAAAGAGCAGAAACTTGCAAGTCACACACTTGCTCATACAGACCAAACACCCAGGGACACAGCTCATATTAGTAATGCCAGTATTCATTCAGTCATTTTCCATGAGTGTTTAGTTTTGCAACACTAGATAGCAAACCCAAATATAAAGAGGTAACTCTTGTCCAAACACCCAAGTCATTTTTAAAGTAGTAATTAAGGTCCTCCTACTTCAGTTTCAGAGAGAAAAAGTGGACCCATGAACCATAAAAGTTAACTGCTCTACTGAACACTTCCTAGAATGTACAGTGAATCAGTGCTTTAACCTGTGTTTCATCTCTTTTTGTTAGGCATCATAACTATCTGCACGTTAACTTTTTTCCAATCAACTTTCAGATGTCCACTTCAAGAACTGGGTAAATGTTACACTGATAGATACTAAATAATAAAACTTACAAGACTTGAGACACTGAAAGTCAGCTTGATGTTCTGAAACATGTTAGATGCTAGGCTATCCAAGTATTAAGTCAGCTCCTCTACTAGGGAAAGTTGAGCTAAAGGGTTTTTATTTTTATAACTGTTTGCATCAATTCCCAAACTATAACCAACATGCAGAATAAGAGTCAAGGTTGTCAAGTATTCCCAACTTCAAGAATGTATATTTGTCTTATTTGCCAATTTAAAAATAACTATTCCAACAAGTTTTAGAAATACCAGTCACGTGAGAGGAGCAGACCCTCACAAATGGCATATAACCTAAAGGATGGGGAAAAAAAGTTTGTAGTTTTAATACATTGCCAAGTATACACATTCAATCACTGCTGAGCCTAGGATGCATTACCAAGATGAATTGTGCCCTTGGCTATAAGACTTAGTTTAGATAACCAGCTATATAGTATAGTTTCAGCTTTCTTAACCAGTTTCTCCATTCCTAACCCTAGCCAATATCTCTATGTTCACAGTCTACCTTTCCTGATCACAAAAGCCTTCATGCAAATTAGTCTATAAAAGACGAGACTGAGAAGGTATTTCATAGCAGCCTTCAACTACCTTATGAGGGATTAAAAAGAGGAAGGAGCTAGACTGTTCTCAGTGGTGGCAGATGACAGAACAAGGAACAATAATCTCAAATTGCAGCAAGGGAAGTTTAAATTAGATATTAGGAAAATTTCTCTCACCAGGAGGGTAGTAAAACACTGGACCCAGGTAACTCTCCATCCTTGGAGGTTTTCAAGACCAAGCTAGACAAAGCTTTGGCTGGCGTGATCTAGTTGGGATGGTCCTGCTTTGAGTAGGGGGTTAGACTAGATGACCTCCTGAGATCCCTTCCAGCCCTAACTTTCTATGATTCTATATACACACCTGAAAACTGGCATTTGAACCCCAGAAGATCGTCCCCATGGAAGACAATCATGACTTCTTATACACATTTCTTTTTACATTGTACAAATACCTGTTACTTGTACTTTGCATAGCTTATGCAAAAAACACAGCAAGTGAGAAGCGTTTACAAATATTTATTGGTGGAAGTAGCAAATAAAGTTCATTAACCACTAAACAACTAATTCAAGGTTTTGTCATGTTAGTGAAGAAGAGGTCCAACCTGCTTTGTTCATTTCAATATAGAATCTTCACTTGCTAAAAGAGAAGAAAAATAAAATCAGTTTAGGTTGTTGCTCTAAAATAAAGACACAGTCTTAAACATATGAAGGCCTTGTTATGTTAAATAAAGAAAAAAAGTTTGGTTGTTTTTTTTTTAAACCATCAGTTCCTTTTACCTACTTTAACAAATTGTTTTTTCAGTTATTTGGTTATGTTGTTTTCAGTGATGCAGTCTTTCCAGAGCTTATTCACAGGAGTATGTATAAGTAAACCATAGTAATTTTTAAGGCAAGGACTCAAGGCAACAAAATACATCACAGATATTTCATTATTCTGTGTATAGGTTGCAGATGCTGGTTCAGGAATATCCAGTAATGAAGAGGATATTACTATTTCATTTACCTTCTATGAAAATGACAGTTCTCTTATCAGCTATGTAAACTTGCCACTGTCAACTGAGCTACACTGGTTTATAAGAGCACATGAAAATAATTTTCACCCATTATGTGCTTGTACACATCACTCAATGTCTGCTATAAAAAAAAAAAGAGTAGCAGCACACATTTCAAATCCATATTTAGCATAAGATAGGTAATGCCAATGTTTGAGAGAATACCTTCTGCCAGTTCTTTTGCAATCCGTTCCAGCTCTTCACGCTTCTTTTTCTCTTCGGCTTCTAGTCTCCTGTCCTCCTCAGCAATAGGCTTTAGATAGTCTATTATTTCAATTAATGGAAAATTGTGTGTTATTTTAGTTATTTATCCAGTTTTGTTATCTGCCCATTTGCTAAAAGGCAGTTTGCTATCAGGCCTTGGTTATATGTCAACTCCAATTTGAAGCTAACTACTGAAAGTTGAACTGGTGTTCTTTATCCTCAGATTACTAAAAGAATTAAAGCTTAGTCTTTCCTAAAAGTAAATGCCTTTTGGAAGATAGGCAATGGAATTATTGTTCTACCAGAGGTATTACATGCTAGCATAAGATTTGAAGAGCTCCATCATCCACACTGTTGAAGGTACGTTGATGTAAAATAACAGTGCAAGGTTCATTGGTAGAACACATGAACAGATACACATGCTACATGTAAGTGGGGAGGAGGGAGAAACAAGCTTTAGATACAAGTGGTGCTTGGAAGTTATAGTTCCTTCAGTTTAAAACCAAACTTGGTTAAGTAGTGCAACATCCTATTATGGAGCCAGTTATCAGTATACAAATAAATGTACCCAAAGCAACCATAAGCAGCATAACAGTCCTTATAGGGGTACTGCATCACTTTACCACATCATTACAGAGAAGCTCCAAGGACAAAGCCTTAAACTTGCCTTTGCTGAAGAATCTGACCTGCAAAACTAATGCCGTAAGTGGCCAATGCTGGCACGCTCAAGTTAATACAGAGGCACAGGCTAGCAGTAAGTATGCTTAATGGCATGCAATTCTGTGCTGTCTGCGTGTTATGGCACAGCACGCAGAAAGAATGTTACTGTCTACAGAGCCACACCAAGCATCATCAATACTTTGTCCTGCCAAAATCTCCACGGAAGCATCTGGCTGCATGAAGCAGGACCCTAAGCCACACCAGGGTGGCCAGCAGACTAGGCCTGTGGAGCAGGCATGCTGGCTTCCAAAGCACAAGACCCCAGCATGGCAGCAGCCCCCTTCCCACACGCACGCTGACCCACTTCGGTAGCTACAACGGCCCCACCTGCCCCTCCCCCCTTGCCCGGGCCCAAGCGGAGCACTTACCGCAGCGCGTCTTGCCGTAGAGCACGCCGAGCAGCAGCAGCGAGTAGCGGCTCATCTGCTCGGAGCGAGAGAGGAACGACTTACGGACGGCCCTCGGCCTACCGCCCGCCCACC